TTTAAACTTTCACTCAATAATTTAAAAATATTTTTTACAAAACAACAACAAAATACTCCTAGTGAAACAGAAGCTTGAGGTAAATAAAAGTTTTCATTTGGAACTGAACTGAGTTATTAAATTATGTGAAATTGGAAAATCAGTAACATTGTTCACACTTTTGTCATTTTTATAAGACACTCAAATTAAGATTTTACTTCATAGAATGTATCATAAATGCTAAGCAACATATGAATATATAAGAACTATATGAAGATTTGTCAAATATACAATAAAACATTGATTGTTAAAATTCTGTTATGAGAAAAATTTAGCAGTGTGTGATCCTAAAAACATCTAAGCTTGACTTCAAAATTGATCGTTCTTTTTCAACCCCCTGCTGAGGAATAGTTCAAAGTTCTATCTCTAAGTGGTATAAATATCTGATAAATGCTTTTGAAAAATATTATTCTTGGAGTGAAAAAACCTACAAATAAAAGGTGGATTCTTTAAAAAAGAAGATAAGAGGTTATTGCTTCAAATAACAAACAAAACTTAGCAGAATGTGTTATGAGTACTTACAAGTCAATGAAGAAAAGTCTAATGGTCCAATAGGAAATTGGAAAACAAACTTGAACTGTTATATTGCATGAAAGAACTATCAAATGATGAATAAACATATGAAAATGTTATTAGTTATTAGGGAAATACAGGTTAAAATTCAATATGGTACCATTAAATGAAACTAGAATTGTAAAGGTGGTTAAACATAATGAAGGGCTAAGATTAAAAACAAACAAACCAACCAACCAACCAACAAACAAAAACCAAAACAGCCTTACTACATATTGGAGAACAACTGTTGTTGTTAGGTGCCACCAAGTCAACTAAAACTCATAGTGATCTTGTGATACCCTAGCCTTTCCTGTGCCATCGTCTACATTTCTAATGTGTTTGACTTATTACAGTCACTATGTCAATCCATCTCGTTGAGGTTCTTGCACTCTTTCTCCGACCCTCCATTTTTCCAAGCAAGGTATCTTTTTCTAAGCACTGGCCCTTCCTATCAACATATTTAAGTTTTGAGACAAAATTTCACTATCTTTGCCTCACATTGGTTTTACTTTCTCGAGGGAGTATTTGCTTCTTCTTTTCACAGTCCATGAGGTATTCAGAATTCTTCTTCAACATTACAACTTACATGCATTGATTCATGTTCTGCCATCCTTACTCATTACATTTGGATACATAACAAGTATTAAAAAGATTAGTTCAGGCACACCATATTCTTTAAAGTTACATTGTTGCTCCTTAGAACTTTGGAAAGGTCCTTGACAGGAGATTTTCCTCAGAAATATTTTGATTCGTTAACTGCTATTGCCAATGATGTTGATTGTGTAAAATAAATCACTGACAATTTTAACCCTTTCTCCATCTATCATGATTTTGCCTGTTGGTCACAGGGTAAAGATTTTTTTTTCTTTAATTTTATTTTTTGGTTTCCATTCAATTATTCATATACACTGTGATTCATTCATATATGTTGTGTTTATGCATTCATTTGCATTGTATTTTATATTATTTTATATTATTATTGATCAATACCTATTATCACTCTATCTTCTCAAGTCCCTATTGAATCTTTCCAATTTCTTCACCCTCTGCCAGTTAACTTCTTCTATCCAATAATTATTTCTCCTTCTTTTTTCTGGCTTTTTTCTTCGCTACCCTTTCCCCTTTTGAACATTTATAGGTTTCTTGCTCAGTTATTTTCCTATTTCCACAATAATGATCTTACACAGTATTTGCTCTTATGTGACTGAGTTGAATAGTGTTTTACAAAATAATTATTATTTAGTGCTACATAATATTCCATTGTGTGAATGTATCACCACTTTTCAATCCATTCATCTGTTCATGGACATTTAGGATGTTTCCATTTTATTGCTATTGTGGATAATGCTCTAGTGAACATAGGTGTCTCAGTTTTGATTTCCTTGGGATATATTCCTAGACGTGGAACAGCTGTATCTTATGAGATTTCTATGTTCAGCTTTTTGATGAAGTGCAAGACTGCCTTCTAGAGTGTTTTTATCATTTTATAATCCTACAATGCCTAGGGCTTCCAATCTCTCCGCATCCTCTCTAGCATTCATTGAGCTATACTTGCTATCTGGATGAGATGAATTGTTATAGTTGCTGTGGCAATGGGGTCGGGTGTCAGAAATGGTGAGATTGGCTCAGGTAAGGGCAGGGTTCAAAGCTATGAGGTTACTCTTAGTCATAGTCCACTTGATAGCCTGTAACAAACAGCTGCTGGGATGGGATGGTATTTTGTTTTGATTTGTATCTCTCTAATCACTAGTGATTTTGAACATTTCTTCATTTGTAGCCATCTGAATGTCCTTCTTTGTGAAGAGTCTTTTTTTGTCTTATTCACATTTTGTGATTGAGTTCAGTCTTTCTTGTGGAAGCTCTGTAGAATTCTGTAAGTTTTAGTAAAGGTAACTTTATATAAAATGCCATTACCAAATGTTTTTGCCTACTCTGTAGGCTTTCTTTTCACCCTATTGGAGAAGAAGATCTCATTTGATACTTTTATCCGTTCCTGGTAGTTCTATGTGACTATGTGTACAAGTCTATTTATGCCAAAGGCTAAGTAAGCCTTCTTTTCCCCATTTTGTCTCTCATGATCTTTATAGTTTGGGGTTTTAATCCTAGGTATTAGATCACCTTTGAGTTGAGTTTTGGGTATACTATGAAATATGGATTCTGTTTCTGTTTTCTGCAGGTAGATATTCAGTTGTCACAGCACTATTTGTTTAAAAGGCTATCATTTCCCCATTTAAGAACTACAGTCTGTGTGCTTTATTTTCCACTTTCTTGGAATATTTAAGTGGAATTCACCATAGTTCAGCTCTGAATATTTGGTAGAATTCATCTATGAAACTCTCTGGGCCAGGGTTTTGTTTTGTTTGTTAGGAAGTCATTTTATGACGTGCCCTATTTCTTCTCTTGTCATAAGTCTGTTCAATTGATCCACTTCTGTCTGTGTCAGTCTGAGTAGGGTGTGCGTTTCTAGGAATTTGTCCCTTTTTCTGGGTTTTCAAATTTATCAGACTATAGATTTCTATTACTATTCTAATATTATTGATATATTTACAACTCATTTTATTGTGATATTAATAATTTCTTTTTACAACTTTCTTTATTTGTTTCTTGTCTTTTGCTAAGTTTGCCAGTGGTTTGTCTATTTTATTAATCTTTTTTGAGGTGTCTACTAGTTTTGTTAACATATTCACTTTTCTCTGTTTTTTATACCATTGATTTCAACTTTTAACTTTCTAATTTCTTTTATTCTAGAAGATGTAGGATAAGCTTGTTGTTCTTTTTCTACTTTTTGCTATGAACTGCTCCCTAAGGACTGCCTTAGCTGTATTCCAGAGGTTTTGATATGATATATTTTTATTTTCATTAATTTTACAGACCTTTAAATTTACTTTTTTACTTATTCTACAATCCAGTAGTGTTCAAGCATGGGATTTATTTAGCTTTCATGTGGGTTTTATGTTTCCTTTGACTGCTTGTAATTTTTAAAGATAAGATATTTTGATCTTAGATGATACTTTGTATTATTTAAATATTATTTTTTATTTTTTGAGGCTTCCTGTGTGTCCTAATACAGCCAATTGAACATGCCATGTGCACTTGAGAATAAAATAAATTCCTTTTTTTTCTGGATGAAGTATCTTGAATATGTTGATGAGGCTGAATTGGCTGATCATATAGTTTAGTTCTGTGTCATTGCTGAGTTTCTTTTGAGTTGACCTTTCCATTTGTGAGAATGGTGTATTAAAGTCTCCTACTTCACCACTGGGTTGATTGACAGCATCATGATGGATGATGAAGAGACTGAGATTGTAAACAGCTTCAGTTTGTTTGGCTCCACAATCAACAGTCTTGGCACCAATAGCCAGGAAATTAAAAGATGTATTGCATTGGGAAAGTCTGTTGTCAGAGACCTCTCCATACTACTGACAAACAAAGATGTCAGTCTGGAGACTAAGATGTGCCTCATACAGGCCATCATCTTTGTACTTACTTGTTATGCATCAGAGAGCTGGACAATGACTAGGGATGACAGAGAATTTAAGCCTCTAAGCTGTGATGTTGGAGAAGAGTATTGAATATACTGCTAGGAGAATGAACAGGTTCTTCCTAGAGAGGGTTAAACCAGGCTGCTCCTTAGAGGCAAAGATTCTCAAGTTTCATCTGACATACTTTGGGCATGTTGAAAGGAGGAACCAGTCCCTGGAGAGGGATGTCATGCTTGGAAAGGTAGAGAGACAGTGCAGGAGAGAAAGACTCTCAATGAGATGAATTGATTCAGTGACTAGATAATGGAGGTAGGTGTGTCAGAGACAATAAGATTGGTACAAGATACAGCAGGTTTTAGGGCTATTGTACGCACATAGGGTTGCAATGAGTTGCAGGCAATTCAACAGCACACAACAACAATAATAAACACTATTGTGGCATTATTTATTTCTTTATGTCTGTTAACCGTTGTTTCATTTATTTTGCTGCACTTGTAGCCTTCTATATGGATTGAAGCTCAATATTAAGAAACCGAAGATTCAGCGCGAGGGCGACGCAGCGCGAGGGCGGCGCAGC